CCCAGCTAATTTTTTGTGTATTTTTAGTAGAGACAGGGTTTCACTATGTTGGCCAGACTGGTCTCAAACTCCTGACCTCGTGATCTGCCCACCTCAGCTTCCCAAAGTGCTGGGATTACAGGCGTGAGCCACCACATCCGGCCAAAAGCATGTAATTTCTTCATTAGGATCTTAATCACTTGCGTGTTAGAGCTGCCTGGCAACACAGGTAGCAAGTCATAATTTAGGCCTATTGAATGGTGATAGTAAATGCACTGTACACCAAAACCTTAAAACTTTCTTTTTTTTAGGAGGCCCCTACTTTTACGGAATTAAGCAGAGAAAATGATGAAGAGAAAGGTAGTTTTATTTTTTCTTTTCTTTCTTTTTTTAAACATAGATGCTTTTATCTTGGTTTTGTCAAAAATGCAACTTGTCAACCTATCTGGGAGTAAGACATCCAATCTGTCTGAGTTACATTGTTCTTATTGATTTAATGAAAAGATAATACTAATGAATTAATTAGATAGGCTAACTGAAGCTGCAAGTAACAAAATTGACTACAGTTAGCTTAAACAATAAGGAAATATCTTGCCATAATAAGAATCTCAGAGGTAAGGTTCCGCATGCTGTATGGACACAAGGTAGCTGCCAACACGCCAGCCATCACATGCAGACTCTGCATTGTCGTGAGGGTGGCAGAGAGCATCTCTGGATGCTCTTCTAGAATCCTGTTAGGAGCAAGGATACTTTTCCAAGAAAACACTCCTCCCTTCAATAGATTTCCTTTCAGATGTCATTGGCCAGAACTGTGTCACACGTCCACCCAAAAAGCAGTCACTGGGATTATGTTGATTGGTATAGACAATCAGAATTTACCCCAGAGATGAAAATGGTGTTATGTCCCCCGAGCCACAGGCAAGAGGTATGGAGACCTAAACAGAATTGGAGTACTGTTCCCCAGGGGAAATGGGGATAGAGCAGGGAAGTGCCTGTGTGGTCTGCCACGGTGACATGGCGTGCAAGGTTCCTCCTGTTCTATGGTTGTCAGTCTGGGACGTTTTACTGGAATATGTGGTCTCCGCATAGGAACATTTTAGCTCTCGTTTATTGAAAATGTCCCTGAGATCCTCTGTGAACACTTTGTAGTATCTTATCTGAGAAGTTTTATTATGATTTTCCTGAAACGTACATGTGGAATAACATTTTTTTCTTCTAGTCACGTTTAATTTGAGTAAAGGAGCATGCAGTTCATCCGGAGCAACGTCTTCCAAGTCAAGGTGAGCTGCATCATTCATGG